TTTTTTTTTTTTTTTTTTTCAGTGAGGTGCTTATTTAAAGATTTTTTTTTTTATATTTAGAACTCTTTCATGCCAATTTAAAAAAAGTGACAGAAGTATAAAAAAGTGACACGAGTCCACATTGTAATTTGACAAAAGCATTGTGCTTCACAAGTAACTCAACTTGAAAAGGGTAGTTTGAAACTCAATAGCAATCATAGGTGCATCCCGATCCTTAAACTTAGAAAACTTGAACTATAGCATTAATACCGTCGAACGTAGATGAATTTTCAACGAACTTTCTTCAAATGTAGAACTAGGAGATGATTATTGAAATTAATTTTTTTCCATAGTGTTGTGCCTTAGCACTATTCCACATATAATGTTAAAAAATAAAATTCAATAACAGGATAAAATATGTGGACCTCAATCTACCTCAGTCCATTGCTTTCGAAAGGATAAACTTTGAAGATGAAAACAGTTTCTCAACAACAACCATGCCCTTTAAGGTCTAATTTTGTTCTTTCGCTTTAAAAGGAAGTAACAAACAATAAAAAAAAGGTACACAAAAAGAGTGACATGAATTCAAAAAAAAAACTGCAAATATTCGAAAAAGTGACAAAACACCACTCGAAAACAAAACATTCATAGCGAGCTTGGTTAAAGCCATTTCAAACTTTTCGCAGCACATATTCATATTGCGGCATTTTATCGAACATTTGGTATGCATAAATTGTTGGTAAAGCAAACACAAAAAGAGTAACTGCTCTATGTTCCTATTTACTGACGTCAACAAGGGTATGGGGAATATGATATACAGACCCACTGCCAATTGCTTCTCCACATCCCCCTACCTCCGGAAAGTCGGCCCAAAGCAAACCCACCACAAGGCAATCTCCATAGCGTCAATACAACGGTCTCATCATCATTCCTTACCTCGCTTACTCCTCTATGCACTTCACTTGGGTCCCTATTGTTATTACCATAGATATTGTTATTAGTCTGTAACTCATATACGCAAACTGGACAAGAATTCTGATTGCAACTGAAAAAAAAAATAATTAAACTTCAGATCTAAAATTATCAAAAATTTTGGGGGAAAAATGAAACTAAGACTAAACCGTATAGATTAAAGAGGGGCAGACCCGAAATGGATGTTGAAATAGCATCAAATGCCAGTGGTTGGGTCTTTCAACGATGGTAGGACATTAGGTGTGTCCACGAATCTCTCGATGGTACCATTTGAGTAGAATTTGAGAAAGGAAAGAGGTCGAAGAGCACTTATTTGGTGGTGTTGGAAGGCATGGTAGTGTTCAAATATCTCCAAATTCTTTGCAGTGGTCATATGGTGAAAGATATATTGGCTAGTTTTGGGGAGGGGGTTTGGAGATTTTATAATGTATTAATTACGATTTTAAATTATTTAATTAGTTATTAGGGTATTAATCAATTTTGTCAATATTTTAGGGTACTGGACCTAAATTGCCCCTTTTTTCTGTTTTATGGGCCTACAATTAGCTTTTGTACACCTTTATGTAGATTGACCCACTTAGTGATATATGGGCTGGACCATGACCTGCATGGATAAGATCCATGATCCAAGGTTGGATGCATTTATTTATTTTTTTGTTAATTAGCCATGTTTGATGACCATTAAAATAAATGGAAATTACATCAAATCAGAATTTTTAAGATTACAATTCAAAAATCAGATCTAAAGTTTGTTTATACGAAAATAAGATGTTAAATCAAATTTTTAATATTAATAATAATATCATAGAATTTAAATTAAATTAATTTACCACTTATATTAACCTACTTTAGTTTAAACTTTCATGGCGCACCCACTTCGGTGCTCATTTGTGTGAATCGTCGGTGCATCTATTTTTTTTTATTTCTAAGTTTTTGTGGTTTTGCGGTGGAGTCGTGATTTTGTGGTGGTTGATGGACATTGTGGAGTCATGATTTGTGGTGACCGACGGTTCATGATCACTGCTACAGCATTGGTAGTGGTGTGTTGCGTTGTAGTGATGGCAGGTTGTGCACTGTGTCGTAATTTGGCGATAATTTTTATTGGTGGCAGTTGTGGTGGATCGGGCGGTGAAGGTGGTTTTTATTGGATCGACAATGGATCTGATGAGATTTGTTGGATTTGGTGGTGACAGTAGTTTTTTTCGGTGGCTGTGATGGTGAATCTAGCTAAATAGTGGTTTTATAGTTGAAAATTGGTGGTTGTGGTGGTGAGGTGGTGGTGATTTGAAGTTGAAAATGATAGTTTGTTGGAGGTGATGGCGATGGTGAGGTGGTATTGTTTTTGGTTGGTGCCATGGTGGATTGGGGTTGAGTGGTGAAGGTGGTGGAATTAAGAGTTTTTATGACCAATTATTTGAGATTGTGACCAATAAATTATTTATTTTGTGATCTATAAATAATATGTAATCGATAAGTTGTAATCAATAAATAATATGTGATCTAAAATTTTGAATTTTGACTTATAAAATTTGTGATTTGTAATCGACAAATAAATTGTGATTTATAAACTTTTGGATTTGTAATCGATGAATAAATGGCGACCTATTAATTTGATAATTCGTAACCTTAATATATTTAATTCGTATATATAGTTTTAATTAACTATTTCATAATTAAAATTTAATTAACATCTATTTATGAAGTTTTAAATTTTGTTTTCTTAGTTTTGAAATTTGTCAAGATGTGAAATTTTTCCTTAAAATAAAACTCTTTTTTCCTATCAAACTCATTTTTAATCACACATTTTCACAATAAAATATTTTGCACGTAAAATTAAATTTTTTTCTTCACACATCTTTTTAAAATCACCATTCCAAAATTTATTTTAATGGTTGTCAACAGGGCTTAATTGTATGGATTGACAGTGTTTGGCCACAAGTGGGGTCGGTGGGTACTCTGATTGTAGAAATTTTTCTAAACTCCCCTTTTCTTTTTTGTATTTAAATGTTTTAGGTGAGATATATTTATACTTTTTAAAAATTTGTGGATTTCATTTGCAAGTTTTTCTTATCTTTTGTTGATGTTGTTGTTGCTGTTTCACTATCTTTCTTTTATTTTTGTTTACTTAACCGAAGGGTAAATCCGCCATTTAGTTGTAAAAATGGAGGGAAGGATGAGTTGGGCTGTCAATGGATTATATTTTTTAGATATTTTTGACAAAAATCAATGATAATGTGTCAAATGAAATTCCATAACAATTATGTTAACAATTGTGTGAAAGTTTTTTTTTTTTGGGTTTAAACATACAGCTGACAGCCTAGAGGCAACCTCTTCTCTCTCGCTTTTACTCTTTCAATTTTTAATTATTTTCAAACAGCTTTTTTTCTCTCAACTGTCTTTTCTGACTGTTGTCTTTTTCTCAAGTGGAAACGCTTTAACTCTCTTCATAAACCCAACAAAAGAAGACATTCTTTGCTTTTTCTTTTTCATGGAGTTCAATCTGAAGCAATGGAGAGAGAGGCAGCAGGAATCAGAAGAAGAAGAACTACATTCTGCAAAGTTTCCAAGACTTCTCCTTGACTCTTATCCACTACACCAGCAACCTTCTGGTTCATCTGCAGTACTCCCATTGTTTGTACCAGCTGAACCCACTACCAATATGTCAGCATACCGTTCTGATGCAACCACCAAATTTCCCAGTATCTCTCTCTCTCTCTCTTTCTCTGTGCTGTGACACTGTCTTAGAAAGTTTTTTTTAGCTTCCAAGTTTTATTTAAGGACTTTTCTTTTGGGTTTTGCACTTGGACTTCATTAGGGATGGAGAGTACCTTCAGCTTGGCCCAGAGGCAGGAAGTTGAACTGCAGGCATTAATCTTCAGACATATGTTGGCTGGTGCTGCTGTTCCTCCTCAACTTCTCCATCTACTCAAAAAAAGTCTTATAACTTCTCCTTCTCCATATTTATTCTCCCAACAGTCCTATCCCCATTACCAGACAACTTGTAAGTTGGACATTCTTGAGTTTTTTCTGTAGGAAGTTTATTTTCATTTGCTATTTTTGTCTGAACATATGTACATATGGATATGGTGGATCAGTGCGAACGGGGTACTGGGGAAGAGGAACCATGGATCCGGAGCCAGGCAGATGCCGGAGAACTGATGGCAAGAAATGGAGGTGCTCAAGGGAAGTGGTGACTGGGCAAAAGTACTGCGAACGCCACATCCATCGCGGTCGAAACCGTTCAAGAAAGCCTGTGGAAAATCCCACATCTGAAGTCCTCAAGACTACTAGTTTTACTCTTTCAAAGCCTTCTCCATCCATGGATCTTCTTCACCTTAATCAAAGGTATGTATGAGCTCTAAATATCTTCAGCTTCAACCACTTGGTGATATTATATTTTGTAGTTAGCATAGCTGCATAGAGCCAAGACTCATTAAGATTCAATATGCCAAAATATCAATTCTCAGAGATTGGCATGTTCCCCACATCACTGGGAGGTTTATATGTGAATACAGCCCTGTATAGGTTCTCTGTGCTTCCATCTTATCTTTTTCGTCAATCCGGATGCTGTGTTTCTCATTTTTAGGTGTTTATGTTTTTGAATTCTAGTTGCTTTGAATATTTAAACAAATCTAGAAATGAAATGAGATGAGTGCGAAAATTTAGCGCTGTTTGAATGTACTATTAAAAAGTAAGGAAAAGTTACTAATGCACGCACAAAATTATTTTACTGGGAGAATGCACGGATCAAATGAGTTTGGGAAAAAAAAGTTCAGAAAATGGGGGTCAAATGGAACTTAATGTTTCTGTTTCAGGAGGGGGGAACTTGTGACGTTTAGCCAATAGCTATTAGATGGGATCCTTGTTCCCCTAAAGGAAGAAACCCAAAAAAAAAAAACTTCATTTTCTCAAACAACTTTAGCCAGGGGTCCTCGAAATGAATTCACTTTGGATGTGGGTCATTAGTGTCTTCTTAGTAGGACCACATTATGATATTTTTGAGTCTTGCTAAAGCATAGAGCTTTAGATTGTGCACAAACTCCCCCCATTTAATGGTCTTCCAGCTCTTTCTTGGACTTTTTGCTTTCCCTATCTAACTTTGGCAATTGTGGCCCCATGGCATTTGTAGGTCTTCAGAATCCATAATTGTCACAAAGGGTCCATTCGAAGCCAACAGTGATTGTAAATCCGATGGCCAAACCCTTTGCCATTTCTTCAATGAATTGTCTAGACAAGAAACTGGCAATGCCGCTAGTCCTGTGGCTACGGCCACTAACTTGTCCATTTCGATTGCGGAAAACCCTTCATCCGACTTCTCATTGAAGCTCTCCACTGGGGATATGGATGACTCTGGACCTCGAGCTGTACACACTGAAAGGGATAGGCCTCAGCTGAATTGGGGTGCAACGTGGAGGCCTAATCCGGTGGCTACGATGGGAGGGCCGCTCGCAGAGGCATTGAGATCGTCTTCTTTCCCCGACTAGCGTTCTACGTCAGCTGCATCCACGCTCAACATCAGATGTTAGCTATGTTAGGACCTGACCTCTACACAAGAATTTGTTACTCTGCTTTTACCCTTTTTTCTTTTCTTTTTTTTTTTTCCATGATTCTGTTTTAATGTTTGTTGAGAACTTGTACACGCTGAGTTGTATAATTTATTGGTGTGATGTTCTTATGGTTTAAGTGAAAGATTATTGCCTATTCATGGTGTAAATGTGTAACAGAAGCTCCTTAAAGTGGCAAGGTTCTGCTTCCAAACTGATGCTCCCCCAAAAATATGTTGTTGACAATAAGAACAAGACATAACTAAAAACACAACGAATTCACAAAATAGAACAATATCACTGCAACATATAGACAACAAAATTAACATAAACGATACTGACTTGAATTTCAGATTGAGGCTAGCACAATGCTATGTCCTATAGTAGAAATTCGCCCCTACTCCTGTGCTTGTAGTTCGATGAGCGTCTGCCACCAGGATTCAACAATCTATATCCAAGAAACGAGCACTCGATTCTTGGTTCTGGCGATTATACTAAGTGTTTTCTTCTCTCAAACAAAATTTACGAAGAATTAAAAAATGCAGGATTTTTTTTCCCAGTAAAAACGAAACAAACGTTTTCTCTACGGATATATAGAAAACGAAGATCCTTATCCTTTGTGTCGGTTATGGTAAAACAGTTGTGTTGATCAAACACACCCATTCAGACAAAATCGAACAAAATCGAAAAAGAAAATTATAAGTGCTAAAACTGAAATTTAAACATCACAAGACCCAATCAAGCCCATCATATAGGTCTGGCCCAAAGCCCATTTGAGTGGTCTTTTATCCAATTTATTAAGGATATAACTTTCACACTTATAAACAAGTTTTTCTTTCTATTCCTATCCTATGTGGGACAACCAACAACATCCAAAACCTCTATTTCTATACAAACTCTCCAACAAAATAATCAAGCTCGTCTAAATTCTAATGACATGTTTGATATATTAAATTACAATGTAAGGTTCTGTTTGAGCCCATTTCTTGGAAAATAGATTTTGTAATAGTAATTTGTTTGGAGAATGCATAACTAAAAAATAAGAAATTTTTGGGATTTGCACGTGAAATTGTTTTATTGGAAGAATGTGTGGTTGAAAATAAATTTGAGAAAAAATGAATTTTTTGATAACGAGGTTCAGAAGGGATTAAATAAAAATACGCATTTTATAAAGAGTTATCTCACTCACACGACACCCCCTCGATCTAATGAGAAAACCAAAAGTTCAAGTTTATAAAACTGAAGTTCATGCCAATGGCAACAGATTGACGTACCCAAGGATGCGTAGTGAAGCTCCAATCTGCTTCTGCTATTAAACAACAACCATGCTACAAGTACAATTTTTTTGATATCAAGTTTGACAATGTGCCACGTGTTGAAGGTTGAGTGGTCCGTTTTTAAACATTACACACTTTCCCGCCCATTCGAATTTGAATTAACATGGATTGTCAAATTTCTTGTCAACCATGGATTTTACACAAAGCTTTATTCATTAAACAAAAGGCAACTTAGCTCCAAGTACATAGACACGCAGAAGCTAACGTGTCATGACAACAAAGTTCAGCTCAACTAAGATTTTCAACTTGGCACTTGCCCCCCGGGGCACATCCAAGTTGGCAAAGGATGGGCACTGCTGGGCTTGCAACCTCAGGGTGGGGAGTTCGATTCCTGGATGGAGCAGCTGAGTGTTGTAATACTCAATTTGGGTGGAGCAGTTTGGTGATGTAATATCCATGGAGGAAGGCTCCCTTGAGGCCAGGAGTATAAAGGGTGCACAGACCCTGGTCAATTTGGGCATATCCCGCGATTAACCTCCACCCATCACTGAGGGGTCGGGGATGGGTGGTCCAGGACATAGTCTAGTGTAAGTTAGGATACCTGAATATCAAAAAAAAAAAAGATTTTCAACTTGGCACGTAGATTTAAAGTAGATTGAACCAATGTAATCAAATATTAAATGAATCATGTTACAGTAACATAATTTTTTTACGCAATAGTTGACATAATATTTCATCATTGGACTGTTTTGAATAGTCAACTTTTTCATCCAATCATATCTTATCAATTAATATTATGTCACTCTATTTGCCAATCACATTCTGTCGAAGTGGTGTAACCCAAAGAGTTATTCACCAAAATTATGGAGCACTTGTGGATTTTTTCGAAAGAAATTCTATTATAAAAACTATTGGTCCATGTGGACCATCCTAGTGCCGACTCTCAATTGGAGGTACGTCCACTAATCTGCACCCCTAGCTTGGCGTTAGTGTATTTGACACTTGACTAGGATAGATTCGTCTCTAATTCGAGGGACACTAGTGAAGCATGTCACACAAGCTAAATAGGGAAAATTTTTGTTCATTTAAAAACTCGAAAGATGATGAAAATAAAAGGGAAAAATTACGTAACTACAAAGAATTTTAAGATATATTTTCATAAATATTAAATTTGTGAAATCTTTTCAAAGATCAAGTTGTCACATCTTGAGACCCAAACAAAATTTTGTGAGATGTAATTTAATTAATCAGGTCACAATCACAATAAAACAATTTTTTTTTATCACAATTACATATTAGTTACAATGGCACATAGTCACAATCATAATGACACAGAGCCACAATTAAATATTTAATCACAAATTTTATTATGTTACAAATTATTTATTACTCATACATTACTTAATTAATCAGTTTTAATTACCCAATTAAATGGTCGCAATCACTCTTCATCTCACTCCACCTCACCCCATCTCACTCTACAACCTCCGACACCACCTAAATCGTTGCCACTGTCACCTCAAACCTACAACCCACAACCACCATCTCCTTTGTACCATCACCACCACTACCACTGCTACTTGAACCTGAACCTAATCCACAACCACTGAACTTGATCTGCACCTTAGATCCACCATCACACATCCAAATGCCCTGCTACCATCACCACATCCAACTTACAATCATCCTGTCACATCATCCAGATCAACATTATGATAATCATTCATTGTTGTATTCAGTCGATTTTGAACCTTAAGCTAATCCTCATACTCTGAACTTGAGCTGCACCTTAGATCCTCCATCACACATCCAAATGCACTGCTACCATCACCTCTTCCAACTCACTATCTTCCTGTCCCATCATCCAGATCTACATTATGATAATCATTCATTGTTGTATTCAGTCGATTGATGATGACAATGCAATAGAGAGGAAACTGAAGCAGTAGCTCATGGTTGAAGCATAGGCTGCACCGATGACAATGACGTAGGTCAGAGTTGGTGATGGCAACTAATGGTTTACGAATTTTCTGGTATTGGATAGAATGTACCTCATTTTTGAAAGAAAGATATTTGGACCTTATTACTAGGGTGTGTTTGAATTTAATTTTGAGGAGAATAGAAATTTTGGAATAGTGATTGATGTGAGAATGTGTGGTGGAAAAGTGATGAAAAGTTTTTGATTTGTGTGTAATATTATTTTATTTGAAGAATGTGTGGTTGAAATGAAAAATGAGAATGAGAATGGGAATGAGAATGAGAAATTAATGGGTGCCAAACAGGGGCTAAAATGAAATTTAAAACATAGGGTTTCGTGTAATTTTCCTAAATAGAAAGTGCGTTCCCTTAATTCTTCCTTTTTTCAAGCCTTAGGGCCCATTTTTTTGTTTGTTGTCCATGGATCCACGAGCTACGCTTTTGCTTCGTGTCCAAGACTCCAAGCCTCCATGGTTTGTCTCAAAGCATACGATAATTTTATTTCGACTTGTTAGGACAAAGCATTCTTACTTTTCAACTTTTTACATTTTCACCCCTATTTTCATATTTTATTGTGGAAGACGTCATTTCATAAATTTTTATCCAATTTCTTAATTAAAAATTATAAGATGAAAAATATACACTAATATTTAAATAAAAATAAAAATAAAGAACAAATTGCAATAATACTCCCATTTTTCTTTAAAAAATTACAAATAAATCCCAAATACAATAAATTAAAAAATCAAAAAAGAAAATAAAAATCTTCTTCTTCCTTCACCCACCCTCACCCTCACCCTAACCCTCACAACGAAACAAAACATAAAATAGATTGAGAAATACTAGAGGATGTAGAAATACTAAAAATCAATCTCTCGTATTTCTTATTAGAGTATGTAGAAATACTTAGATTGATTTTAGGATTAAACAAAAGAGGATTTTTTTCTCGTTATTGCCAGTGGCGTCGTTCTTGACTTCCACAAGGTTTCTTGAACGAGGATGACTTTTTTGCAGGTGGCGCTCACAATACTTGTGATGGGGCACCACATCTCCTGAGAACCTTCATTATTCGTTCCCTTACACCTTTCTAGATGACCAGTCATCGCATTCAAACACTAACACCAATAAACATCTTTTTAAAATTCGTATCTAATTGAGTACCAAACGTGTAAAAAGAACAAATCATCAAAGAAAAAGAAGAGCCGATGTACAGGAAATTGAAGGGTTTGGTGGTGGAAGAAAGAGAAGATCAACGACGTAGGAGTGAAAAATGCAAAAAATTGAAAATATGGGGATGCTTTGCACACTAAAAACTAAACGTATGAACGTTTTGTACTAATAAATCTTATAGATCATAGCTTGCCTTTCAAGCTCATTCCTTTGAGTAGATGTAAAAGGATACCCATTAGTTGCAACCAATTCATTCCCACTTGAGCTCACACAACAAAGTAAAATCAACTTTTGATTTACACAACATGAACAAAGAAAGAGTGATTTAATTACATGAGGACTTTAAGGCGATGACTGTGGCAATGCTATCTACATATCCCTTGAAGGCATACTTTTTTTCAAAACTAGATAATTACCCTGAAAATTTTATAGAATTTGAAAGACCCAAAAGTACTATTTTCAATTCTCAGCAGGGGTAGGAATGGGACTTGGAGTGGATGAAAGAAGAGGATGAATTTTCTTTTCTTTCTTAATTTAATTTATCAGTACTTTTTTTTTTTTTTTAAATGGGAGTATGATTGCAATTTGTTCTCTATTTTTCCCTCTTTTCATTTTGTTTTATTTATGGTGTGTTTGATGGATATTACTGAGAAAAGAATGAATTTTAAATAGAGATATGATGAGAAATATGTGGTTAAAAAGTAAGGAAAAACTACTGATATGATAAAAAATATTATTTTATTAAATAATATATGGTTGAAAATAAATTTTGAAAAAATGTATGTCAATGACTTAAATAGGTGAGTATTTATCATTTTACCACTCTTAATTGAAAAATTGAATAAAATTGATGAAAATAAAGCTGAAAATACAAAAAATTGAAACCGGTTGCTTTCCACAAGGACAAAGGAACGACGTTTTACAATTTTTGAACGATTTTTACTAACGCCAATCCACAAAAGATCTAGGGCTAATTATTCTATGGGGACAGCTTCTTCTTCTACTCTATCTTTCCGGAGTTGATTCTGGACAATTATATTCAACTTTCCTGCGATATTTCGACCAGGTAATAGTATTTCATAATCATATTTTAACACGTCTTTCATTCTTTGTAATTATTAATATATATTTCAACTTTGTTGTTTGATTTAGATTTCTTTAGTCATATGCATCTATAAAATGAAGACGAAGTCCGTACCGTGTATTGATGCTACTGCTGGTACAGGCGAAGAAATGATCAAAATAATTTGCTTATCAGGATAATTCAAATCAAACCAATTGGATAGTGCTAATTGAATTCCATATTGCAAAAACTTGGTGCGGAAAAGTAATGCGCGTCCTAGATAAATGATTATATGATCGAAACTTGTGAAAAAAAACTGAGGCAAAATGGAAATCACTTTCTTAATTAGCTCCAGTTTGACATTTTAAAATTCACATGTCCTCAAATTCATTTTCGATCGCACGTTATCCCAATAAAATAATTTTACATGGGAACTCGAAATTTTTCCCTACTTTTTAACCATATATTCTAAAAAAGAAAAAAAACCACTTTTTACAAAATATTTTCTCAAATTTTTTGTCTTAAGTTCGGATCTTTGTTTATTTTAAAAATATACTTTGCTGAGATGAATCACAGTATATAGGTTCTGTACGTGCAAATTTGGTGTTTGATTTGTTTTTCGTTCGATAAAATTATTTAGGTAATATAGCCAGGGAACTTTGCCTCAGAAGAATAAAGTACAACTCCTTGTTGGATTTTGTGAAACTAGAAGTATATTATGGCTACACAAGAAGAGAATAGCGCACTTTTCCCTATCTTTATCTTGACATTAATGGCGCTGCCTCTAGTGCCGTACACAATAGTCAAGTTATGCCGTGCTGCATCAAAAAAGGCCACAAATATTAATTGCCAGTGTTCAGTTTGCTTTCGCTCGGGGAAATATCGCAAATCTATATTCAAAAGAGTAAGTTTCTGGTTCAACAACGTGTTCTTTAAGTATCACGTTTGATAATACTCAAGGCAGACGATACACTTTATTATGCATCACAGCTATAGTGGCAATCATTTTATTCATTTTGATTTAAATTTTCAGATTTCCAACTTTTCAACATACAGTAACCTGACCCTCGTGCTGCTTTGGATCCTCATGGCAGTCTTGGTTTACTATATCAAACATATCAGCACTGAGGTACTTCATGTGTCCTTCATATTTCTCTGTTACGCAGTGAACACAAAAGTTGCTATTATGTTATTCAGTTTGATCTCGAACATGGAGTACTGAGACTTGAGAGTTGGATCTGAGCTTGGGCTAACATATTTTGAAATGCACTATGAATACATAGCTGTATTTAACTATTTGTATATTTTATGCAATTTGGTGCATGCTACTTTTTTCAATTATACCCCATGGGACTTCATTTATATGTCCTTGGTTCTAGTGAAATGAAAATCTGCCCTTGATGCATGAGAGCTCTTAAAAAGAAGCAAAGAAAAAGACCTTGCACCTCACTAAGAGGCTTGCAAAATGGTCCTACTTCTCGCATTGACTCCATCGAAGCACAGGCTAGGCTAATACAAGCCGACCAGAAGAAGCAAAGCTTAGATTACCGGATCATGGACACAGTCTTTCTCAGTGGCGGAGAACCCCTTGCCTCGCCTTTTCTAGCCTCTCCTTCTTGCTTGCTTACCCAGCTCTTGTCTTAACAGAATTGGGCTATGAAACGGGGAAAGCATAGAACGGCTTAGCATGTCATCATCTTTAGGCTAAGCGGTGTTTAGTGTGCACTCGCACCAGAGTATGACCTGAGATGGGAAGGGAAAGTTTGTTGCTTCCACAACCCCAGACGCCTCATCTCCACCATAAAAAGTAATCAATGTCATTTCGCAGAAAACTACCATTCAAGAAGGAAAAAAAAAAAATCTTCTCTTCAATTTCACTGGATCCAACTCCATGGATCATTTGGGACCCGGGAATAGTCTTCTCAGCATTATCTGCCTGAGTTGTTGACCATCATCTGACCTAACATCAAACGGGACGCCACAAACAAAGGGATTCTCCATCAAAAAACTCTACACGTTATGTTCCTAGAATTTCGATTCTCTTTACTTCAGGTGGTTAGCTGTGATGCGTCCACTCACTGGCGGGATAGGGATACCCAGGTGGGTTTTCATTCATACTANTGTGGAGTTCTCCATAGATGTGTTATGAAGGAGTATAACTAGTTAATAAAATAAACAGCCTGACAGCCACAATTTTTTGGTTTGTTTGAGGTTATTTGATCTGCTCCTTTTGAAATTTAAATAAACTTGTTTATTCCCAGAACCAAATTTTTGAACCATTCAGCATTCTTGGAGTGGAAACTGGAGCTTCAGATTCAGAAATAAAGAAGGCATATAGGAGACTTTCTATCTTATACCATCCTGATAAAAATCCTGATCCAGGTTGAAGTTGTTTTATGAGAGCATGCATTTACTTTGTTAATAAATCCAGTGTATGCCTTTTGACTTGCTAAATGACTTGTAAACTCTGTGCTGCAGAGGCACACAAGTATTTTGTGGATTATATCTCAAAGGCATATCAGGCTCTAACAGATCCAGTATCACGTGAGAACTTTGAGAAATATGGCCATCCCGATGGCAGGCAGGTAGCTTACTTCCATTACAAGGGGCGAGAGAAGCTGCCTCTTGCTTTCTTCTACTTTCTAAAAGGTGAAATTAATCTGGAGACTGTTTACCGATGAAATTCTTGAATCTATTTATTATCAGGGGCTTCAAATGGGGATTGCTCTCCCTCAGTTCCTTCTTAACATTGATGGTGCATCTGGAGGAATACTTTTAATTGGAATTGTAGGCGTTTGTATTATTTTGCCCCTGACAATAGCTGTCATATACTTGTCAAAGTCATCAAAATATACAGGAAATTTCGTCATGCATCAGACAATATATGCTTATTACCACTTCATGAAGCCTTCTTTAGCTCCAAGGTATGTGGTTTTGCTAGCTTTTATGTTATGCTAAGCATGTTCGGGAAGTGTTTATAAACAATTTAAGTTATAATTAGATAGAAACGAGTGGTGATAGTACTTGCCCGTCGAAATGTGTGGATAAGAAGTGTCTTGAGTGTTCATAAACAATTTATAAACATGAGCCAAACATAGGCATGGTTTAGAAAGGAGAAAGGTTAATGTTAATATAATTTATAGGTTTGTTGTGCTTGGTACAATTTGAATATATCTGATTGGTTTGTACTTTGAATGTCCTGTCTAGTGATAAGGATGTTTGAATTTGTTATTTCTTGTATAATATGGCTGATCTAGAGCCTGTAAGATTGGGGAATGGGAACATTTTGCTTTATTTCATGGAATCACATGGCTAAGTCCTCATATGTATCTTCTGTATTTAATTTCTTTAAGCTTCTTTCTTAATCCCCTGCCTTTTGTCTGTTTGTCTTGTATAACCGTTAATTATGTTTTTGTTTCGCTATGCTTCTCACTTATGTTGCCTTGATGGTACAGCAAGGTCATGGATGTTTTCATTAGGGCTGCTGAATACATGGAAATTCCAGTTCGTCGTACTGATGAAGAATCTCTTCAGAAATTGTTTGTGTTAGTCAGGAGTGAGTTGAATCTAGACCCCAGAAACATCCGGCAAGAACAAGCTAAGTTTTGGAAGCAGCATCCTGCTTTAGTAAAGGTGATGTGCTTACTCTTCACAAGTTTGAAAGCTTTGATAGGGGTACCCTTCTTAGATAGCTGGTTTCTGTTTGCAGAATGAATTGTTGATTCAAGCCCATTTGACCCGTGAGACTGCAGCATTATCACCATCTTTGCAGCGTGATTTCAAACAGATACTTGCCCTTGCACCTCGACTTCTTGAAGAATTGATGAAGGTTTTTTATTTATTTATTATTATTTTTTTCACATTTCTGTCTGACCTATGGTAATTCTACTTCTTTCTACCCTTTTCTCTAAATTAGTTTTTCCTTTTCTTTTTCTGGTGATTTCGTTTTAAATTAATTGTTTGTGTATGGTGCTTTCTTAAACTTTCCGAAGCTGCACTAAGGTCAACTCTTTACTCATTCTATCCATCAACTATCTAAATATATGAAACTCTCAGTTTACTCTGTTCTTAGACTGCCCCTCCAATATTCAAACATGCCAGGTCCTTGGCAGAGAACACTTGAGAGGATGCAGAATGAGAAAGGGAAGGCAATAACTGGCCTGAAGATCTGTCTTTTCAACCTTTTTTTTTCAAAAGGGGGATCAAAGGATTTTACCCCTCCCCCTTGAACTCTGTCCATTGGCTTGGGAAGACTTTGTTCTTACCACTTGAGCTAGGCATCGGCCTTGAATGTTTTTTTGACTTAAACTATTTTAGTATTGTAGGTTGCAATTGTTTTTTGGACTTTATATAATTGTTGATAATCGTAATGAAATTTTTTTCTCCATGCAGATGGCAATTATACCACGCACTCCACAGGGGCATGGGTGGCTGAGACCTGCAATCGGGGTGGTGGAGCTATCTCAGAGTATCATCCAGGTATTGCTCCACTCTAGTGTATTTTTCGAGACTAAATATGATAGGAAGCATAACTAGTAACATAGCACCATCATTTGATTTATAATATTCTTTATGAAAGAAAGAAGAAAACCTGATACATGCTTAACTCATTCTAAACTTTGTTAATTCACTATCATTCTGCTAGTTTAGGGAATTTGTCAGAAGGTTTTGTATAAAAATGAATTCTTCAACTGATTTTGAAGTTCTGCATATGGTAGAAAAAGACCTGTCTCTGTCCGCCCCATAATTTTTGCCTTATTTTGGAAGGCCTACTTTCCTGTATGTTGTTATAACAGTGGCAATTGAATTGTATTTTCCATGTCACTTTTCAAACCCAAAATTTCAAATCGTGATAAAATGATTATTTCATTAATTTTTTTATTAAGGTAAAAGTATAATATAACAAATTTGAGTTAAGAAGTAGAACAATTTTTCTATGGACATCCAAAAGGAAGTTTAAGAATGACAATATGAAGGGGGAGCATGTCAGACCTCGAGGTCAATTAACATTGTCGTGATCCTTAATATGAAAAATTTGTTATCCTAGGCCTAGGGTTGTAGATTTTTAATCAGAGTTAATTATTACATTGTCACATACATGCCCAGCTTGTTTAGGATTAAAATCAGATTTTAATTTAAGTCAAAGTCAAACAATCAATATTAATTACATATTTCATAGGTCCTACAGCTTTTCAATCACACATTTCAAAAACTTCTATCACAATTTATTAAAAATCTAATTTTAATCCACACCAAACACCCATATAAAATGCTTATTGCAAGACAATCTGACTAAGAAATAGGAAAAAAAAAAAAATTAATTAATTTAAACCATATATTTCATATGACCACAACTTTTCAACTATACATTTTATCAACTTTTATCAAAATTTACTAAAAATCTAATTTTAATCCCCATCGAACACCCACATAGTAAAAACAGATACAAGTACATTGGCCTCATAAAATGAAATATGAACATTAGACCCAAAAAAGCCTGTGAAAAAGCATCAAATGATATCCAACCTGATTTTATTATAAAATAGATGACATTCATCATCCATCCATTGCGAGGTGCTCGTGCTTTTCTAATTAAAAGGATCTTTAAAGCTCTCTGTGCTATACCTTATAGTTATCAAGGGTGTATTGTTTTCTTGGTTGAAAAAAAATTATTATACATCAGAATATCAGATTACACAGGGAAAATGAGGGATTTAAAGGGAATAAGGGTAAAATTTGGGGAAGATGTGAGAAAAACTACCAACAGACAATAATCCTGAGGTAATGCTACTAGAAGCACTGTAACAAGCTTCAGAAATATTTTTAATTTTACAATTTGTGTTAGTTAATTCTTTTGATAATTATGAAAGAATAAATATTATCTATTGTCTGTTAGATTTTCTAACCACTGGAGAATGACTCCATAAAACTTCAAAATTAAGAAAATCATGATTCTGAGATTGGTCTAGAATTTCTGCGACTAAAATGCTTTTTGACTCCAAGACGTCAGTATGTCAAATAGGAAGCTCGGCTGCCTATAGAATCCTGTGAAATCATACAATTGCCCTTCTGGTCCATTTACATTTGCAAAATTCTTTTATACATGCAGGCTGTTCCCCTCAGTGCAAGAAAAGCAACCGGGGGATCCAGCGAAGGATATGGTCCCTTTTTGCAGCTGCCACACTTCACTGAGTCTGTTGTAAAAAAGATCTCCAGAAAGGTTGATCTCCTTCTTCTGGCTCTGTGCTTTATGTCTCTGTGTGCATATGCACGTCTTTTAAAGAGCAATGTTGTTTGACGCCGTCATCTGCATTGCACCATTTTCTGCTCTTCGCCAAAGATGATTGCAATTCTTTTATTAATGATGTTAAATAAACTTAAAACCATAGTTATTAGACTTGACCCGATCATCGACCTGAATAATTCATTGGGTCACTGGTTCAACCGGTGAGTCAATGGTTTAACCGGTGGGTCATTGCTGATTCATGCATCCAAACACTTTTTTTTTAAGTGAAAATTTATATTTTTCTCTCTCTCTTTTTTTTTTTTTTAAAAATTGTGTATATACTTACTATTATATGTTATAATTACTATTAAATTACACATTTTATCAAGTTTCAAATTTTAAAACTTTTAAGTTTCTGCAATTCGTGTGTGTGTGTGTGTTGTTTTTTCAACTTCGAATCTATATTTCAGACGAACATATACTTTTGTATAAATTGTTGTGTACAGGCCAGGCTGGCTGACTCTCGGGTTTTTTAAAAATCCGGGCTGTCGGAGTATTTTGCCGGTTGGTTCTTAACTGGTTCATATGCTTTCCAATCAAAATGTACAAACTGGGCCGGCATTCTTCCCGATTTGGCGGGTTTCGGGCCAACCCCGCCAGGCCGGGCCAGTTTTAATAACTATGCTTCAACCGATAATCTTAAATCCACAAATGCTTTTCTTGAGATCATTCCGTCCCTTCACGATTAGCACATCTATCTTCTTGACCACATCACGCACAGGTCTTGGATGGTCATTGAAATCTAGGTAGGATGGTGTCATCCTGTCTACTACTGTACTATTACAATGTTTCACACTGGTAACATGGAAGTCCCAATATATTCTCTCCACGTGTATTCTGTTCCCATGGGCGATGTATTGGCCTCAACTGTTTTTGTCTTCTGTTATTTTTTCAGAAAGTACGCACATTACAAGATCTTCGAGACATGAAACCAGAAGAGCGTGCAGAGCTGTTGACTCAGGCTGCTAGTTTTTCTGTGGATGAATCCCGAGACGTGGAGATAGTAATTGAAATGATGCCTTCTATTTCAATTGATATAAGATGTGAGACAGAAGGTGAAGAGGGGATACAAGAGGGTGATATTGTAACAATGCAGGCTTGGATTACTCTTAACCGTGGCAATGGCTTAGTTGGTGCTCTTCCACATGCTCCTCACTTTCCTCTCGAAAAAGAGGAGAATTTCTGGTTACTTATTGCAGATTCCTTGTCAAATGATGTGTGGATCTCTCAGAAGGTAAATTTCGTAGACGAAGCAACGGCAATAATTGCTGCAATGTTACTTTTTGCTGATTCCTTGTCAAATGATGTGTGGATCTCTCAGTAGGTAAATTTCGTAGACTAAGCAACGTCAATAATTGCTGCAACAAAAGCAATTCAGGAGTTGAAGGAGGGGTCGGGTGCTAGTGCGAGGGAAATAAATGCAGAAGTAAAAGAAGCAATTGATAGAGTTAAGGCTGGTTCTCGGCTAGTGATGTCCAAGTTTCAGGCTCCTGCAGAGGGAAACCACAACCTGACTTCTTACTGCCTATGCGATTCATGGATTGGTTGTGATGCAAAGTCTAGTATTAAGTTGAAGGTTTTGAAACGTAGCCGGGCAGCAGGGACGAGGGGTATGGTTGCTGCAGACGAGTTACCGGCACTAGAGGATGGTGGTGATGAGGTGGACGAGGAAGATGAATATGATGATGATTACGAGAGTGAGTACAGTGAAGACGATGAAGTGGCAAACGGCACTGCCCATGTTAGAGGCGACGACAGTTCAAGCTCCGATGGTTCAGAAAGTGAGGAAAATTAGAAAAAAATTTCCTTCATTTTTGTTGTGTTTTGTTTTTACGTTAATTTTTTTAATTATCCGAGAGAAATAAGGGGTATAAACGAAAATTTTGCCATATTTCTGTTGATAAAATATTCATAACAGCATACGGTCGATATTAGAGTATATTTTGTACAAGTTGAAAAAGAATATGCACTGAGTAGAATACTTGAGCGGGATTTTGTCCTAGATGAGATTTTAGACTTTTATTGCTTGGTCCTATCTTCTGTTATACACGGAAAATTGTTTAATCAACGAAACCATATCTTACAAAAAGAACTGTGTATATATAAATTACTTAAAAGCACTCTCCTTTCTTTCAAGCATGTTCACATCTCAGCATGGCAGCAAAATTAGACTACGAGATTGAGAAAATATGGACAAAATGAATAATGTACAAAATAGGAGTGGATTGGGGAAAAACAAGAAGCATTTATATTATTTGTTTCACACTGCTATCTGCTAAGCTCTTTTATCTTCTTTGGAAGTTGAAGAACTTGATGCCGAAGGCAAAGCCGAAGAAGAAAATGAGAACCCAAACAATATGCATTATGCCTACAACTGGAAGGAAGTCGTGTTTGAAACCCAAGTTTTCTTCAAGATACGCCTTCACTGTCATATTACCAGCTCCAGGCACCTCTAATAGAGAAGATTTATCGCCAACTTGAGAGGCGACTAGACCGTAAATTGTCCAAGCAACAGGCGAACCCCAGTAGTACCACCTCCACCATATTGGAATTTGCTGCAGTCATAAAAAAAGGGTCAGCTTCCAAGAAACTTTTATGGCGTGTTTGGTAGAGTGGATTAGACAGCATTTTAACGATGAAAAATAGTTAAAATCTTGTTCATTATACTGTCCAAATGTACCAAACGTGCATTAGAGATGTAAACTTTGTGACTGGATAATAAAGTTTCATGTTTAAACTCTGTACTCACAGTCCTGGGGATAAGGAAACCAGAGAACAAGTTCCAGAAACTGAGGAAGAAAGACATAACAATGGCAGCAATCTGGAGACCTGGAGTCAGCGCCACAAGCATCATCCCGTACAGCGTGTAGTAGATGAAGCACGTCAAAATAAAATAGTAGAACCAGAAGAATTTCCCGAATTTCCACTCGAACCCAATCATTGAATAGAGTAGGAGAGAGTACAGAATAGTCTGAACTGCAATGTAGATTATCTCTATGGCCACCTAAAGAAAATAAGATATATAGACAGTTGAATGTTGATCACGTGCCTAATGTGATTTTGGTAGTCATATTATAGTAAAATACTTCTTATGCTTCTGCCTAAAAAGTGCTAGCTTGCAGAAAGAGATAAAATTTACTCATAATTTGATAAGCAGAAACGTATAATGATACCTGAGCAAATGCATAAGGCAGTGCTGAATACATTCTAGCTGCCCTTTCGCGGTAGAATACTGTTCTCTCTATAGAAACAACACCTTGCACAGACGAACTATTGGTGGCTCCAAGGAAAAGAACAGAAGCATAGATGGCTCCCAAAAGGTTCTGTAAATCTTGTTGTTTTTGGCTGTTCCAGAAAGTTAATACCGCCTCAGATATAGATGCAAGTTTTTTTGAAAATCAATAATAAGATCATAATATTATGTACTCAAATAAATGAAGAAATTGAATGTGTAATTTCGTTTAACCAAGCCAAAGGCGAACCATATGCAGTAGACATGTCCATGATGACTCAAGAAATACCATCATAGAATAATGTGATAAGGAAATTATGGACTTACGTTTTTTGTCCCTTGTCCCAAAATATGACGCCGAATATAGTACCTATGACTATTGTCATGAAGAACCGAATGGCATTATATTGCGGATTCCTCCAGTAAGACAAATGCTGCTTCCAGAAACAGGCTTTGCACTGAGTAAGAAATGATTGCGAGTACTTAGTTGGGAAGTAGAGGTCCTTAGAACCTGGTGGAGGGGTACTGAATTCTTTGATAAGTTCTTGATTTCTCCTGAATTTTTTTTTCGAGCAAAAAATAATTTTCAGGATAATCTAAAAATCTGAGAAAATCATAAACAAATACAGAAAAAAGTCATTACATGTTTTACTTACTGATAAAGGGAGGAGCTGGCAAATATATCGGCAAAATCGACTCCTAGTTGACCCTCAACTGATGGCGTGCTAATTTCCAGCATCCATGTAGCTGGATTGTACCCATCTCTAATTTTTTGAACCCCGGGAATAGCCTGGCATATGTTAAAAATATTTACAATCAAATTGTTGTTCAAAGTGAAGAAACACGAAATTAAGCAATTATGCATAAGTAGTATATTGGTTTTGCTCGATAATAATGCTATTTATCATTATGATGATGGAACATCGGTAATGTTACAGCCTACGTGAAATAATGGGATTGGACAATTCAATTTTTATGAGAGGGGGAGAGGAGAGAGAAATGTGAGGGATAAGTTGTCATATCACTAATGTTTTATCGTTGTGATGATAAATAACATTATCAAATAACAGCAGCAAATGATATTTACTTCAAAATATTCTATCAGCTCGTGGGAGTGGTGACCAAGTGGTCCAGCATAAATGACCCGCCCTCCTCTCTTCATCAGAAGTAACTGCATCAAGCTCAATAATTAGCTGTAGGCATCTGAAAAGAATGGAAGATTCAAGAAATAGAAAATAAAAAAATATATAATGCATAAAAAATCTTGACCATACTTCATCAAAAGCTTCAAAAATGTCTATGCTTGGTTGATGAATTGTGCAGACCACTGTTCTGCCTGTATCCACTGTATTTCTCACAGCACGCATAACTATAGCAGCAGCTCTGGCGTCAAGGCCCGATGTTGGTTCATCCATGAAGATGATAGACGGGTTAGCAACTAACTCTACAGCTATTGTTAACCTCTTCCTCTGTTCTGTTGAAAGGCCATCAACTCCGGGAAGCCCGACCAAGACATTTCTTATTGGGTTAAGCTCAACCAATTCCATCACTTCTTCGACAAACATCTGTAGTCAAGATAGCAAAGGAGGTAGATTGTACTTCTATGTAAACTCAGAGAAACAATTTCAAATAATCAAGTCATATATGTTAGATTGTGTGGAGACTAATCATACTCTTTAATTAAGGGGGTGTATTGAACATTCACATTTGTGCATTAGGTCGTTTGGATTCCTTACATTGTACAAATGAGTTTGAGGGGGTTGTTTTTGTGTAGTGTGTGAAAGACACATAGAGAGGCGTGAGATTTCAGCTGTGAACTTCTTCTCAATTTAGTGAAATCTGTCGAGTGGAAGTAGCTCTTTTATTGAGAGTGAACCATTACAAATCTCTCTGTTTCTGTTTCTGTTTCTGTTTTGCATTTCTATTTTCTTATTCATCGTCCATTATTTCTCTTTGGTTTTGTAATTTAGGCATAATACATAACAATATACCTTTCTAGTGTTGGTTTTCACATCTGCAGGAAGACGAAGCCAAGCAGAGTACAGAACAGATTCATAAACAGTAACATTGGGGGAATGAATATCGTTCTGCTCACAGTATCCACTGATTCGTGCAAAAGTGACCTGGTTCTTTGGGTAACCCGAAATGCAGATAGTCCCTTCAATATATCCACCTGTCTTTCTTCCGGCCAACACATCCATCAAGGTGGTCTTTCCAGCCCCACTAACACCCACAAGTGCTGTTAATACCCCAGGTCTGAAAGCACCGCTAACATCTCGTAGTAGTTGGAGACGATTTTCTTCAACTCCTTGAGTTTTCATTTCCTGGTTCAGTAGTAAATTTTCCACATTAATTTGATCAAAAAAGGGGTTATGAGGCATCTTCTAATTCAGCAACTTTTTAATGACTCAACTATCAGCTGATGAAAAATGAAGTTTTCCCATTAATCCCATTATTTAATTTATCAAATGGAAAAGTATTGGTGCTTCGTTCCACTGATCGTGTCTACTGAAGTTGGGAAGCGCATTTCGACCAATGACTAGATGAAAATTAAACTTGAAAATATAGAATGAAATGTTAAGGAAGATACTTACAGCAGGCATATCCACATAGTAATTTATATGGTTGAAAGCAAGTGAAAGGGGTTGGAAAGGCAACAACATTCCTTTTTTCGGCGCACTAATCACAGCGTCAATTATCAAGTCTGAACTCATTGAAGCATGTCTCACTTCCTTATCTACACCTGTAGTTAAGTAATTAGTGATACTATGAAACACGTACTTTTAATGCCTACCTTTTCTTTCTTTTTTATACAATCACTATCAGGACTCGAACAATTTACTGCTCAAAATGAAACCACTAACTGAGAACTTCTCTCTCCTTTTTTCTCATATATAATGTATGAATTATTCATATTTTCTTCTATAAAAGATAAAAGTGAGATACTTTCTAGTGCTGATAGTAATCAATAGAAACAAGTTCCAGACAAGACGTTATTTATGGTTCAAACATTCTAATCCTTCCAAAGAGAGGAGAAAGGCTCTTATTATCTACTAGTGACATGTTTAGCAGGGAGGATTGGACCGTACAAGAAGAAAAAAAGCTAAATTTTGGTTCATTTGATTGTCCAGCCTATCCCAGTCTACCAAATATGCTTTCAATTTCTTGATTTAATAATAAGATTACTATTCATGGGTCAATAAGTAAACAAGAATGATAAGTGAAGATGCACCATACCTTCAGATGCCCGCGCGATATTATTTCCAGAGAACGACTTCTTCTTTTTACTATCATTCTCATCCAATACTATAGTGTTCGCATTACCTAAAGCTGAAAATTGATTTAAGGGACAGTTTGATTAACCTCAAGTTCCATTCACAAGCAAGGAAACTAAAATTGGTAGAGGTTATAAATAACTTACGATTTAAGAAAGTGAGTGCTACCATAAATAAAATGTTGAAGAGAAAAGAAAAGCCTATGAGTGCGCCAACGCAAATCCAAAACCAGTAGTCATCTGTATAGAAGCCCCTCGACTGGAGGAGGACTTTTCCAACAGTAGGTTC